TAGAGGAGAGGGGGCCGATCCACTATCCAAATTCCAAAACATAGTTGCGTTTGATTTCAGAAAATACATACAAATGACAGACACATCCATCCCATTAATAAAACAATATTTCATGAAATGGCCAGCAAGTCAGCAACAGCAACAGCAAAGAGAAGAGGACTAGAGGAGGAGTCCAAGTTGGGGCTACTTTTGCTTTGCTTTGTCACTTTAAACGGGCCGGGGCCGCCGTGGGCGGGCTGATGAGTGATGGCTCTTCTAGTGGAGTGTTCCTGTTTAATACAAAGCCAAAGGAATTTCAACGACAGTTTTGATTATCCAACACTAACGCTAGTTAAGTCTCTTCTCTCTCCTACTCAATCTCTAGCTTGAAAGAAGAAGGGAGTAGAGAGTGAAAAACGGGTCGTGTCTGGGTGGATTCAAGCTAAGCCAGATGTGACCCTATCTATCTATATATATATATATATATTGACAGTGAGATTCCACAATATACCCACATGAACACGTCGCCAACGCAACCAGAGTCGAGAGAGAACATCATCCCAGTGYTCAAACTCAGTGCCATTGGCTTTGCTTTGCACACAGTGCCAACCCTGATCAGACCAGACTCCAGAGGAGATGTAATGGGCCAGAGTTGGTCCTTTTTTTTTTATGTCATCAGTGATCAGTGATCAGTGCAGTGGTGGACACGGTCACACCGGACAGTGGACAACCTTGCATTCCAACCCATCTCAACTCATCAGTCGAGTGAGTCGATCGAGGGCCAAGGAAAGAAGAAACCCAGAAAAGATTACGTCAAAATAAAAAGGAAAGGAAAGAACAAAAGTGGGAGTCTGGTAGCTAAGCTCTTTGCTCTTTGATCGAGCTGTCCCTCCCCCTAGTCCATTAAAGAAAATTAAATAGCCATCCAGACAACGCGCCATTGCACACCTCAATAAAATAAAGCTCTTTAGAAACGAAAATCGATAAAAACAGCAAGTGAGAGAGATGGAGATAGAAGGAGGAAAGGGCAGACCAAAGCAAAAGTAATGAGTAGAGCCGTAGAGTAGAGGATGCTACAACAAGTGAGCGAGACGCCGAGAGTCCGAGACCCACTCATAACATAATTTCATAAAGAAAAAGCACCAAAGCAATGAAGAAAGAAATAATAGGCAAGACAAGAGACAAGAGGGGAGCTTGACTTTTAAGCAAATCCTAGTCGACCCAGATCAGAGTCATGAGTCCATTGCTCTACGATCAAATCCGTCGAGTGTGTAGGATTACGCCGCCGATAAAAGGAAAAGCACAAGGGAATTGGTACGAATGAATGGGAACTGAAGGGGTTGTCATGTTCATTGATCATTTTGATTCTCCCCACGATTGATTGAAAGATTCAAGGGAAAAAGAGATACAAAGAAAAAGAATGACCATTTCACACCTCACACTGAGTTTTGAACTGAACCCATTGTTCCCTTTTCTCTCCCTCTCTCTCTCTGGGGGCTGGGCCTTGGTTGGGGCCTTCTCTTCAGATGGGTTGGGTCATTGTGGGTCACTGATCCTGGGCCTTGTTCAGAGCTTTGACATCTGCTGTTTCCACACTCCAAAGGACTGGATTCCGCAATACTTTATTCATGTCTCAAAACTGGGCACATTCAACGTTCTACCGTCTTAATATTACAAGACAAAGTAGAGCAAAAACGAAAAAAAAAAAAAAAGAAATTACAGAGACAAGAACAAGAACAAGAACAAGGACAATGAGGAACCATGTGCTGGGGGTTGAAGAACAAAGCATCACCATGTAGGTCCTAGTGTGTCATCCAAGAGAACCCAATTCATCTGGGTCTCAAGAATATCGATATAATGTTGAGAACTTGAGATGCATGTTGATATTCAGAGCTTCCTTATTTTGTTATACAAATGAGGATGAAGACGAAGAGGAACGCCATTATTCAGAGCTTCCTTCAGTCCTTGTATGAATAGACTTAATTATAGAGCCGGTTCCCTAATTAAGTTCCAATTAATTGGGTATAAACTGATCAAGCTCAACTTTCCACGATCAAATTCATAGCTTTGAATGATTCCCTTCTCTCCTTGCTATAATCGTAATCTCGTGATGATGTCCTTGAGAGCTTTGGAGAAAAAGGAATTGCTCTCAGCGACAGACACGGGACTTAACTTGTTTCATTGCCTATTGCCTAATAATATGCCTACAGTTGAGAGAATCTTAATGTGACATTTCACATCTCAAGTACAATAACATCTGGAACATGTCGGTACTATAAACCTATCTGCAGTTTCACTACGTTTAAGTAGTGCATTCTTCATGTATATATGTAAAAAAATTTTTTCAATGCAATTCCCTCAGTGCCTGTACCTGGGTGCGTGTATTCACATGGAAGACAATACAATAAATATATATATCATCATTCTCTTCATTCATCTTTGTGGTTTAACAGCTTAGCATCAAGAAGTTGAACAATTAAAGAACCAGAAGACTAAAGGAATTTTTCCTGTGTGTAATGAAGGGAGAGAGAGGGCTGGTACAGAGTTGCGTGTTGTTGTGTACGTACTTGTTTAGTTTCCTTGCAGAGGGAAACAAAGGGAGAATGGGGTTTCCATATTTCTGCACATTTTGGCTTTGCTGGTTGGTTATAACTTATAACATAGTGCAGGAGAGAGGAAAGACTATGGATACATGATATTTCTTCACAACCAACGGCAGATCACTTGGTAATCCAATATTATATTTTACTTTTGTTTATGGTAGATACTTGGTAATCTATCCAATCTGACTACTAGCTCCATAACCATTAACATCCTTTCAACAATCTGAGTCGGGATCTGCTGTGTCCACTGTGCTGTAGACAAGACTGTGCCCCTGTGAGTGAGATCTTCGGGATATGCATAGCATAACAGAAGTGGCTCTTCACTTCCTTACTGTCGAAAATCAAGTGCCAAACAGCCAAAGGCTTCGTTTTACTTTTACCAATATATACCACCTATCCCCACAATTAATCTCCCTTGGTTTTTCATCACCCAAACCATGAACCATGGATACACCCTCTTGCAGTTTCACCTGATTGGCCTTATTCAATATTGATCCACTCAATCTCTTCCGCTTTTTCTTAAAGTCAACCAAGAGAGTATACTTTAGTGAAGTAGGAATCCGTTTTTATATAGCACATGACAATGAGATCTCCTGGATCACCTAGGTTGATTTCATAAAACATGTTTAAAAGTTGCCATTTCACCAGTTACAATGAGATCTTATGACAAGAGTGCCACATTTGAGTCTATCACTCGCACACCCTATAATAGAAACTGGGTCTAAATTTGCCCCGGACATGACCCATCCACGGGCCTCTTTTTTTGATAGAAAATAGAGGGGCTACACAAAACGGGGTAACATGTCCCCAAAAATCCGCAAAACAAATATAAGGAGATGTTAATAACCAGATTGGAAGGAGAGGTATGACCTAAATTGGCCGGCTAGTCAGCAGCTTGGTTTGTCTCCCTATAACCATGACAAAAAAACAAAGGAAACATTCGAATCATTCACCAACTTGGGACTCTCTTCAACGATGCTCTTGTCTTGATATTCCACGGAATTGACAATCTCTTCAGGCCTCTTTAGTTTAAATCTAGACTAATACCAAAAGGATTTATGGACCAGTGCATCAAAATCTCAAGGCATGCATCGGCATCGTAAGATACAGTTGTATACGTATCTATAATTTGAACCCTGGAAAAAGACTGATTAAAAGTCAGAAATCGCTGAACATACATGATATATCTACCGAAACCTACCGGATAGTAATCCATAGGGAGGTACACCAACCCGATATGCCCCTACAGAGGGTTTATCGAGGTTCTGACCGGTTCAAGGGGTGGAAGAACCTTATACCAGCCCCCCTGAATCGGTTTTGAAAAAAATTAAAAAAAAAAAAGTAAAAAACAAAATACTGATATAATTCAATACACCCTTACTGATGTATCGGACATATCGATATTTTGAACATTACCAACTAATTATGGCATAGACACATCTTTTTAATAAGGAGGTTAAACTAAACATTTTTCTAAAAACATATATTTGGTCAAAAATCACCAATGCAAACTTGATTAAGTTTTACATTAATAAATTTGGAAACATCTATGATGCCGGAAAGACGATCAAAACCCCAAGTGAATTATTTTGACCAAAACCTAATTATTATGGATTCACAAATTTTACATTGTATTTGGTGGTGATGGATTCACAAATTTCAAGACTAGAATCTACCTATTTTACTTGTCTAACTTTGGGTGCACATTTTGATTTTGGCTATAAATGCAAAGATATCAGAAAAAACCAGAAAAGGCAGGTGATACAGAAAGTAAAAATGCAAATGTTGAAATGGATGGGTGGTAAAATTAGAAAGGATAGGATCAAAAATAAAATCATCCATAAAAAGTTAAAACCAATAACCAATAGGTGATAATAAAATAAAAGAAATTAAACTAAAATAGTTTAATCAAGTGCATAAAAGACCATCAACAACACTAATAAAGTTAATAATTAACAGTGGATAACAGATTGACAAAACAGGATTCATGCAGCTGATCCAATATAGTTGGGAATTTGGGATAAGGCTATAGACAAAGATGATGATCAGATTATCAGAAAAAATAAATTTTTTTCAGGACAAACATGTATTTTTGCCAAACAATTGTAAAATCAAATTGGAGTACAAAATTTACCTGCATTTACACTCTTACCAAAAACATTATTTTGGAAGGAGTACAAATGCAAATATGTAAAGTGCAAAACCTTATATTTTGTACATATTTGCATTTGCATTTGTACTCTTTCCAAACTGAGACAAGAGAAAAAGGATCTCCCCTTCCCAACTCAAAATTACCATTTGTTAAGGCATTAATTACTTTACTGGACATCAGCTTCAACCCCCAGATAGACGGGGCACCATCCCAAAATCAGACCCTTAAACCCCTCTCTGGATTTTAGACAAAGTTAAGTATAGCAATCAAATGAAAAAGGATTATCCCCGTGGTCATGCATTTTATCGAGGCAGAGAGAGAAACTATACTATTTTGTATCCCCTTTCACCAGTTATGAGTAAGTTTCAGTTCACAAATTTATAAAAGAAAAAGAAAGATTTAACGAACAGAGATGAAAAAAAACGAATAAGCAATATGCTAAAATCTCTCTATGTTGTCAGTGATCCTCGATTTTCTTCAACGCTTTCATATCCGTTGTTTCCACCCTACAACACAACAAAAGAAACAAAATTAGCATAAATTTTTCTACAACAATGCTAACACTGCATGTTACACGGTCCTATCTCTGGTCCCTACATTCTACAGTCTTGATATCACAGATGGAACATTGCCCGATTGCTAATATTGAAGATCAGACATGCAGAGACGATAGACCCAACCTACCGTAGCAATCTCCAGGTTCAAATACCTTACGTAGTCAAAGACCATCCTACTAAACATATACTTAAAACTTTCAATGGTTAAATAGGGGATCATGAAAGAATAAAGTGAAAGATGAAAAAAAATGCGGTTCCTATAGGTGCCATTGGTTGGTCATGGTTCAACGTATCAAGACAATACGTATCCATTTTCAGAGTCACCAAAACACAATATACTAGGATAGTAGGGTTATGGGGTTTTTGTATGTTCAATAATTAGCATGGTTTTTAAAATCGACCAGAGACGGAACCGGTCAGGGGTCCGGTTACCGGGTCAAACGGTCTGAACATTCAAATGCTCGGACTGTTCTGACAAAAATAAAAAATGGTCAAAACCGTTCGAACGGTTAACTTCCCGGTTCAGTGGTTTGCTGATCAAAATCAACGGTTTTGGGGGAAAATCCGGTTTTTGGGGAAAACAGAACTGGTCACCTGACCTGTTCTCGGTTTTTCCGGTCTGACTGTCCAGTCCGGTCCGGTTTTGAAAACCATGACAATTAGAAACCCTCCTAACATATTTATCTTTAAAATACAGGACTGAAAAAAAAAATTGAGTATCACTATTGGAAAAAAGAAAATATTTATGCAAGTGGTGTGATTGGTTTACGAAAACCTGGGTGTCACCAGAAAGGCATCAACCCCAACACTAGACAGAGCGGCAATAGATGAGTGGTAGATGCATCCTCCTCAGGCTGGGAGTTTTGATTCCTTGGATTTGTAATGCAAGCATCGTTTTCAAGGCGTTGCAGCAAGGTTAGGTGATAGGGGGTGCCATGTCGTGTCTAGTCACCTAGGCAGGCATCTAAGCATTGCCTAGGCAAGGGGAATTTTTTTAATACAAACAAACCCCTAGGTTCCATAGCAATCAGCAACCATCTTTCACTGTTAATTGTTTATAATCTTCATAATGTATAAACTTCATTTAAAACATATAAAATCAACATATTCAGTGAAAGAAACAAAAAAACAAAAAAAAAAGAAATTTCAGAAAATAGAAGGGCTGAGCTTCTATTTTTGCCCTGGGAAAAAAAAACAAAAGAAATGATGAATGAAGAAGAAGAAGATCAATACGTCTATGTTTTATTATAGGGTTGCAAGAAAGTGTTGTGACCATGCGATTTCATTGAAACCAAATCACCCAGGCATGTACTCATTCAGTAATTTGGTTTTTCATTTGATTGATAGCAAGATTCTGTTTCATTAGAGGGTTGCATGAAAGTGTTGTGGTTGTGTGAACTCATCATTCAAAATGTTAGGCTACCCTGGTAATTTTTAAGTTGTCATATTAAGATAGCAGACCCTAGGGGCAATCTCTATTTTTTCATATGTTAGCAAGTTGTTACTTGTTAGCAATGTTTTAAAACGCAGAGGCGTGACGCGAGGTGTTCCACTACCTAGAGGCATGAGGCAGAGTTCAGAACGTAAGAGGCATATAAGCCTCCCAAACACAGAGAGGTGTAAGCCTCCTTAAAAGGAGGGGGGATGAGGAGGAAGAAGAGGAATAAAAATCTCATTTTTCTCTATTTTTAATAAAAATCTTTTATATTAAGAAAAATGAAGATGCATAGCACTAGTTGAAAGGGGGTCTTGTTAGGCCCTCAATTTGCCAGCTCCCTAAGAATTCAAGGATTATCTAAAGGATGTCCCAATCAACTGAAGAATTYCACGGAGATGAAACCAGATTTGTTCACTGATATGGCAATACAGAAAAAGATGATCGGCTGTCTCCAAAACAAATCTACAGAAGGGACAACTTGTAGAGTTATCTTTATTTAGGCATTTGGCTAAGGCCACAGTCCAGACCAGAAAGGCTACCTTAGATAGCACATTACATGCCCATACAGATTTACGAGTGAAGCTGGGGGCAGTGAAGTAGAGGTGGTGTAGGTATCAAGGAATTAACCGAGAATCTGCCTTTGTTATTCCACCACCACATTCTTCTATCTCCAGAGTTGGAATTCAGCTGGTGGTGCTGGAGCTGACAGAGCAATTCCTCAAGCTGCTCAATTTCCCAGTCAATGAGATTTCTTCTAAATTTGGAAGATCAAAGTCCACAAGGACCAGAAACAGAGAACATCTCAACAACTGTACTAAAGAGGCTAGGATACAATTGTTCCTAAGTTCTGTCTCCACACACCAAAAGTCAAGCCAAAATCTCAGACATGTACCATTGCCTAGTTTGAGAGCAATGCCTTAAAGAAAATGAGAGTGGGCGTTGAACCTTCAAAGCCATATTTGCCAGGAGGGCAATGTTGCATCTCTGGTTCTGTATAGCCTGAAGCATCCTAAATGCTTTGAAGTGCAAATTTTGGCTCAACCCACCAGATGTATCTTATTTGCTGCTTTTGCTGGGACATGGAACAACAATAGAAAGTGACAAGGAAAACTTGATAGTGCTTCTTATTAGAATTAACTTTGCACCCTTGGAGAGGTACCTAGCCTTCCAAGTGAGTTTTTTTGTGACACCTTTCTAGCACAAGGTCCCAAAGGGAGTAGGAGGAACATTCTACTCCATATTGATAAAAAAGTATCATTCTGCTCCACGAGGGACCCCTAAGTAGACGATTAGTAGATGTGTGACCTTGCATCCAAGGATACTTGTTGGGCATTGTGGGTCAGGAACTTGACCTACAGGAATCAAAGAGCTCTTTTCAAAATTAATTCTTAGGCCAGACACAATATCTTAATACGCCCAATAGATTCTGGAACTGGGTGCTGGAGGCTTCAAGGACAAATAGAATGTCATCTGCGAATTGGAGAAGGCAAGGGTTGGGCACATTGTTACACATTTCAAAACCCGAGACAATAGCCACAAAGGTATACACCAAACAAAAAGGAAAAAAAAAAGGCAATGAACTTGAGACCAATTTCATTGAGACACCGAATGTCATCTTGCTCCATTTGCAGTAATCCCCTAACTACCTTAACCAATGTTTAGAGAACAGGACTGGGCATAGAACCAGAAAGGGAGAGGTTCACATCACAGGTCAGAGGTTCAATCAGGGTCAACCAGAGGTTGTACCATGATGATGTGGCATATATGTATATATACCACAAGTCATATAAACACTACATATATTATATTTTACAATTTTTATCATGCTTGAATGTGGTGGATAGATGGCAAGTTTCTTACTTTTTGAAGTAAATGACCAGGGTTCAAGCCTCTAAACTCAGATTTTCTTTAAAATATGTGTCATACAGTAATATATACAATAAAGAGTCACTAATTAACAGAAATAAAGGGATTGGTAAATGGTAATTGAGTAATGCACATAAAGAAAAGGTCATAGGAAGTCTTGCCATTGCCATTCTGAAGTTCCATCTCAATTAGTGACCTGGGTGGTTTTATGAAACCGGGACCAGTTTACTGGTTCTCTGATTAAAACGGCCAGTTAGCCAGTTTTGACCAGTTTTATATCAAATCCAGTTTCCAGGGTCACGGTTCAACCGGCCAGTCCAGTCTGGTTTTCTAAACACTGACCCTAACTATTCACATAATCCAGCATGATGTTCTGAAACCCATCAAGGGTGAAAAATGGCACCAACTATGGCCACATGGCTCTAGTTTTCACATTAGTTTTAGCACTGACACAAGATCACTGTGGTGATATAAATTAGCATAAAAACACAATAAGATTTTAATCAATGTCTAACATCTAAATTTAGTTCAAAAAACAATATAAAATTTGCATTAAGCCAATGCCCTACTAAGACTCAGACATTCTTTTAGATTAGAGTTCATTCAAGGAGCCTTCATCAAAATTTTATACCGGGGTTTCCACCCCTAATATCCTATTGTACTATTCCTTTATTTTAAGAAATTCCCACCAAGTAGTAAAAAGGAAAAATGTTGAATTGCATCTTCATGATTGTTTTCTAGGGCTTTCCAAGTCTGACTACCTATATCCATGTAAGATTCTATTACTCGTACCAATATCCATGTATCATAGACAAGTAGTTCAATACCTATAATGCTTTATAGTTTTAGTTTTGAACTTTTAATTGACAAATTAATGCAAATAATGCAGTTGCATGCTAAGACTTCTTTGGGAAAGGAAACTTTTATGGTCTTGAATGCAATTATTGACAAGATTAGCTGAATTCAATAAGGAGTATAAGAATCTCAATGCTCCCTAAGTAGAAAACCTGATGATACAAGCAACCTGGTGGCTGGGCCAAGTTAATAGTAAGGTACTCTTATGTTTGGACAACTAATAGAGATTTCAGTTATAAGATTTTTGGTTTAAGTTAAATCAGTGCGGTAACCTAGGATGATGTTTTGAAGATATCTTGAATATTTTCATCACCTTTTATACATAAAATCATAATCATTAGCAGTGACATAAAATAGGATTATCACATGTCAAAGAAAAGGAGATAAGAATATGAGAATATACAGAATAGATGCAACAGAAAAATCTACTTACGTTGTTCCATAGATGACAATCTTCAGAACTTTTGTAATATCGGTATCGCCTTGGTTTCCCTCAACAAAAATAGTCAAACTGATCCAAATCAAGGATAACTAGATGAATTATTTCGCAACTAACTAGATCAAATCATTTTCCATTAGTATATCACATAAAGAGAAGAACTCAAGGAAGTACAAAAAGCACAGAAAGATTAACATACCTGCGAACACTCTGAAACTTGACATACTTTAGTGTAACTGGCTTTCCCTGCAAAATTAAACATGTCTTCAACAAAACATATGCTCAAACAATCTATGTACAACAAGAAGTTACTACTATCTTTCAAAAACCTCCAACAATTGTTTGGATGTACCTTAAGATTATCTAGGGATAGAACAATTGAGTCACTTGGTGGAAAGTCAGAGACATTACTGCAGAAGTTACCATTCGAAACAAGAATGTAAGAATGCTGCTGAAAATATTAAACAGACATCCAAGGACACGTACTGTCCATGACAGTAATCATCTTCAAATTACCTAAAACCCATGTTCTCCTTATTTGCGAAAAGCTTCACAGTCTTAGGACCTGCCAGAGACACCTCATGTTAGTTTTTTTAAAAGGAAATTTCTATGGTACCAAATAAGTACTGTACGTTATTCAAATCTCACATGAATTTGAATGAAAATACTGATTGATTGGTTATCCTTTGTTGTGTACCACATATGAAATTAGAAAAAAGAAAGCCTTGTTAGATAAAGTAATAGCTATTACTCAAAAAGAGGCTAGAGAAAAATACAGAAAAAGAAAATGAGAGGTTTCGAACCCAAGGTTCAATTGGCAGATGTGTGTACTAGTTCCACACACACACAGAAAGAGAGAGAAAACATATTGACATTTTTTTAGAAGAGGTAAAATATATTTCATTAATAAACACAAACCTTGTGTAACTAGAGGCTGTGCATCTGGCATATACAAAATACACACTCCATGGCTCCATGCCCCTATACCCCCACCCTTTTGACTGTATAAAAAGATTTTTGTATACAAAAGAAGGAATTTCTTCCTTTGAATTTACTATGTATAGATACCCATGAGAATAATTTGCCTAATATTTTCTGATAGACCACATCAACTGAGATGCTCCTTTGAAAAATTCTAGCATATCTATCCTTCCAGATTGGGCAAAAAACAATTGCTGAAGTTGTGTTCGTAATTATTTTTCCTCTCTTGCTCAACCTTTCCAACTCCCTTCAAAAACCCCTCTATTGTGGCTGGATGTCAACTCTTCATAGCAAAAATCTTCATGATTCTTGACCAAATTGTGCAAAAGAATTTACAATGGAGCAAAATGTGATCAGCCAATTCCAATTGCTCCTCACATAGTTCACATTCAACCTTGTCCACCCCATTCCCCTCTTCAGCAGATTTTCTTTAGATAAAATCTTATTTGAGCCTCCCAAACAAAGAATGCCTCTTTAGATGGCACATTTCTGCACCAAACAATATTGACCAGACAGCCATTAGCCTCTTCCAGTCTTGCTTAGCCATCTGATTGTATAAGGACTTCACAGAAAACACTCCCGAGGTATACCGATTCGACACTCTCCTGTCTTCCCTGTTGGTGCCAACTGCCAATTTGAGAATTATATAAGATTTTCAATAGCGCCATGAGGGGCTCAACATTCCAATCATTTAATTGCCCCTCTAAGCTGGGATGTCCACACTCTAGTCCCATTGTTCTCTGATATGTAATCAGCAACCCAAGCTTCCTTGTCCACTGCCAGGTCATAAATGGAGGGATAAATTCCTTGCAATGGTAACTCACACCTTTGCTGAATTTCATGTGGCTTTTCTCAATTCCCTTCTAAACAGAACATCCATGAGAGTGATTTGCCTCTTCAGGTTCCCATCCTGACCTTCTTAACCATACTTGGATTGTATTACTTTCCTCCATAATCCCCCATTCTATTCGCTAAATCTCCAGAACCATTTGCCCAATAGAGCCGTATTTACTACCTTCAGTCTTCTCACTGCCAAGCCCCCATACTTCTTCTGACTACACACTTTTTTCTGCTCTAAAAGAAAAAAGAAAATGAATTACAAAGGAATACAATCAATTCCTAGGAGTAGCCTAGGAAACTAGGCATTTAACTGCATTAAGAATTCTAGCATTGACACTCGCAAAGAGAAAACACTAGAGTTAGTAAAATGGCCATTCCAATCCTACTTTGAATATAATGTTTCTTTTTTTCTTATTTCTTGTTTCTTCCGAGGCAATGCAATAAGGGCACTTCATTTCATAGTTACCAGTTTTCGCTGGCCAATGTGGTATAGGTCAGTCAGCATGCTATGATTCCTTAGTTAAAAAAAAAAAGGTAGCCTTCAGTTGATGCACACTTCGAGTCCATCTGGAACAACATACTTATTGTGTCGCGTGTAATTCATACCATCTCAGTACCATAAAATTAAGCATACCATACAAATTGAAACTTTCCATAAGAAGATGGAAACGGAAACAGTAACAAAATAGCAAAAGAGACTAATATTCATGATTAACTGCTTCAACACTGACATAATAGTAGTAGCACAAGTGTAAACAATGAACAAGGAGAAAAGTAGACAGAGGAGTTATTAAGCGTTACCTTCCTCTTCAGGACCTTTGATGAGGATGGAATGCAGTTTAACAACCTGGGCGAAAGGAATATAAATCAAGAGCTGCTCGTCTGCGTCGCTCTCCAGATGCAAACCCTCGTCTTCTCTATAACCCTAACATGAACACCACAACGAAAATCAGTTGCAACGTCTAACAAACCCACCCAAATTAGAAATAATAAAATAAAATAAAATAAAACAAAACAAAATATTCTTCCGAGATACCTGTTTCAGAGCGTTAACGAGAGAATGGCCAGTCTTTTGGTTGAGACATTCGACTCCACTCCAGTCTACGAAGTCGAGCAAATCAACCTAATCAATTTCACGTTCGCACAGAATGCGTTTAAAGTCTAGATAAAGAAAGAAAAATAAATCACATAAGAAGAATGCACAAAAGGGGGACAGGGGGTTGATTAGGGTTCTCATGTGCACGCACTTGGTTTCTTTGAATTGCAGTTGCGGATTCGGCAGACATGGCAGAAGCCACACGCGCGCTAAGACGCAGGCACAAAGAGATGTCGCGAACCAGAGATTTTTCAGGGAGAAAGAAAGAAACACAGACATCGTTTCTGCCTTTTATATTACCGCCAGAGCCGAGTCCGAGATCGTACTGATCTTTTCTTTTATAAATCGTCTTTATGGTCTACCATTTTTTGACTTTAAACTTACAAGTCAAAGATTAATGGTGCGAGTGGATTCGATGAATCGGTCGAGTTGTGTCGCGGATGGGACGATCCCCAAGTAAGTATAAAATTCCTCATCAACAAATGAACTGATGTAGGTGCATGTGGCCGGCTAGTACGGAGCTGACACGTGTCCAACCACAGGGTGCCAACCTTAGCGTACTATGGAGACACTCAAGGCTCAGGCGCAGACCGGACAGACCCAATCCAAGAGCACTGCGTGGCTCTAGCAAAGGATCTCGTCAGGCCCTCATACAGCTTGTATCTAAACCATCCAAGCCCAACTACTCCTAGGTGATTCCAAGCTAGATTCTCTGAACTCAATCTAGAGCTACAGTAACCTCTAAGCACTACTCCCTATAGAGAACTCAAGTGTTACTTAAGTCCTTGTTTGGACCCCTCGGTTCCAGACCTCTGGCCCACTTTATAATCATACTAACTTGATGGTCAGAGTACTCGCCTCGGGTTCCCACTCGAGGCCACTGACACCTCTGTCCTTGTAGGACCTCATTCGGACCCCTCTCACAATGTACCCAGTGCTAGCCTTCGGCTCCTACAACATCCGAAGAGGACCTTCGGCCTTGGACAACAATCCTCGGCCTCGGCCTTCCCTCTTTTGGACCTTCGAAGCCCTCGGCCATCTCCACCGAAGCTCGGGAGCAAAATTACCTTGTTGTCCTTGGCCAATCCGAGCATCAACAATTACCGCCATCTATGGGAAACGTTGCTAAGACGATCCCCTAAAGTATTAAAAACTAAACACCTCCCCAGCTTCAAGCACCATGGTACGAAGAGCCAGGAACACTCAAAACCTAGTTACAAATGAGCAGTTCCAAACGGTCCTCGACCGTTTAGAATACTTAGCACAAGCTCCCGCCAACCCTTGTATCACGGAGCTGCAAGCCAAGCTTGGGGCCGTCAGGGACGAGATCGACAAGTTTGTGAAAGCCGAGCTGACGCCTAAGCCGACCAAAGCAGTCAAACGGGGAGGATGGACGCCTTCACCCTAGACATCATTTCGGAACCTCTTCCCTAGCACTTCAAAGCTCCCACACTGGAGACATACGATGGTAGCTCCAACCCTGACAACCACTTGGAGGTTTCAGAGCGCTCATGATACTCTATGGCCGGGTATTCTGACGCCTTGACGTGCCAGACCTTCTAGGCCACCTTTCGGGGGGCAGCTCGCCGTTGGTTCTCCAGCCTTCCACCTCGGACAATCGGCTCATGGGAGCAGTTTACCAGTCTATTCCTTACTCGCTTCATCAACAACAAACGATGTCAAAAAAGTGTAGTCTCGCTAATGTCAATCAAGCAGAAGCAGGGAGAAAGTCTGCGGTCCTACATCGACCGCTTCAAAAAGGAAGAGCTTGAGGTCCGCGACCTCAACCCCATGGTCTCTATGCACACTGCCATTAATGGGCTCTGTGCCGGCTCGGCCCTCAAGAAGGCCCAAAAGTATATTGCGGCTGAAGAGGCTTCGGCTGGGGAACATCAGGAAAGGGAAGCCAAGCGCCACAACGGGCCCCCCGAGAAGAAGAGGAAGGGTGGAGACAACCCCCACCACAACAGCAACAGCAACAAGGACAACAAGAAGCCACCGGCTTTGGCCCTAGCTTACAAGGAGTACACGCCACTTAACTCCACCTGTACCCAAATACTGATGCAAATCGGGGAGGAGAAGTACGTAAAGTGACCTGAGAAGTTGAAAAGGAACCCCAAGAGGGGAAATCCCAAAAAGTACTAGAAGTACCACCGCGGCATTGGGCATGATACGGAGGACTGCTACGATCTCAAGAATGAGATAGAGTCCCTCATTCACCACAGGCACCTTAAGCAGTTCGTGGGAGGAGAGGCCGGTGCCTCATCCTCCCAGCAACACCAGCACCATCAAGTGGCAAGCGTCATTGACGTCATCTCCAGGGGCCTGGCCTCGGCCCGCAAGGCCTACGCCAGGCAATTGAACATCCAGGGGCCATCCTCAAAGAAGCAAAAGTACCTAAATGCTTCGAAGGAACCGAGCTGTCGGAATGCCCTTGTCTTCACAGACGAGGACCTGAAGGGGGTCACAGTCCCCCACGATGATGCCCTTGTGGTGGCAGCAATCATCGCTAACTACGTGGTGAAGAAGATCCTAGTGGATAGCGGCTCCTCGGCCGACATCCTCTTCTACAACACCTTTGAAAGGATGAATCTCACACCCGAGCGGCTCCAGCCAGCTGACGTTCCCCTCATCGGCTTCTCCGGTAATGCCATCAAACCGAAGGAAAAGATCACCCTGCCCATCACAATAGGGAATGAACCGGACCAAGTAACTTGGATGCATGAGTTCCTGGTAGTGAAGGTTATCTCCCCCTACAATGCCATAATGGGGAGGCCTACCATTCACGTGCTGAGGGCAGCCATGTCATCCTACCACCTGGCCCTCAAGTTCCCCACCGAGCATGGTGTCGAAGTTGTTCGTGGGAACCAACAGATCGCCCGCCAGTGCTATGTGTCAGCGCTGAAGGGCAAGAACAAAGAGGCCCTATCACTAGAGGGCCTCGACCTCAGGGAGGAGACAGCGAGCCGAGGACCTCGTCTCGATTCCCCTAGACAAGGCAAACCCTAAGAAAATAGTCTGCATCGGGTCCAACCTTCCCCTGAACGCCTATCCGAACTGGTAAGTTTCCTCATAACTAACGCCAACGTATTTGCTTGGTCTACTGCTGATATGCCTATAATTGACCCCTCGGCCATTACTCACAGGCTGAGCGTGGACTCGAGCTCTAGGCTAGTTCGGCAAAAGAAGAAGAACTTTGCACCAGAGTGATGGAAGGCTATAGGAGAGGAAGTTGGTAAGCTACTCGACATCGACTTCATCCGAGAGGTACACCACTCTAACTGGTTGTCAAATGTGGTTTTGGTGAAAGGTGAAGAAAACTAACGGGAAATTACAAATCTGTATTGACTTCAAAGACCTTAACAGAGCCTGCCCGAAGGACAGTTTTCCTTTACCATAGATAGACCACCTTGTCGATGCCACTGCAGGATACGAACTGTTCGGCTTCATGGATGCCTTCTCCAGATACAACAAAATAAAGATGCACATTGAGGATGAGGAAAAGACCTCGTTCATCGCCGAGCATGGCACATATTGCTATTAAGTAATGCCGTTCGAACTCAAGAATGCAGGGGCCACCTACTAACGTCTTGTCAACAAGGTGTTCAAGAACCAGATGGGGAGGAACATCAAAGCATATGTAGATGACATGGTAGTGAAGAGCCTGAAAGCCGAAACTCACACCTCAGACCTGGCCAAGACCTTTTACACTTTGTGCAGGTTCAACAAGAAGCTTAACCCAAGCAAGTATGCCTTCGGCGTCACCTCGGGCAAAATTCTTGGGATTCGTCATCACCCAAAGAGGCATTGAAGCCTGATGAGGGCAGATTTGGCCCTCTACTGACATCATGACACATGGCATATCAAAACAGCTGGGCTACATCCCAGCATCACCTAGGCGACAACTTACCTTAGCCAAAATGGGGTCCCAGCTGGCGACCTGGTGACCTACTTCTACTGCCGACTTGGCGACCTGCCTCTATCGCCAACCTAGCGACCTGGCGATCTGCCTCTGCCGCCGACTTGGCGACCTACCTCTTTATAAGCTTACCAGTTGTCTTTGAACCTTTCAGGATCACGTCGCGTAACCGTAGGCCTTATCCTCATCCCGCCCGAATTGGAGTGAAACGGTAAGCCTTATTAACTAGCACGTTATCCTCCTTCCAAAGCGGAACGGACCCCTACGTTGTGGGCCGATGATTCCAAGAGCGTTTCGCTATACCCATGGCAGCCCAACTATATAGGGGTGTCAGCCCCTGAGACCCAAGTAGATGTGCAATTTAGTTCTCGCAGCTCTCCAGCTCTCTCACATTTAGTTATCTTAAAATCTCTGATTCGCTAACTTAAGCATCRGAGTGCCCACCCCGGGTAAAACAACCCGAGCACTCTGACATTGTTTCCTTGCAGGTCGCATCAGAGCCACTTCTCCAGCTCATCACCATTCAGCTAGGCATCTAAGCCACCTCTTCAGCTCGTCACTAGACCTGTTCATGGGCCGGGTGGCCTGACGGGCCGGCCCAGCCCCTGGACGGGCTTAAACAGGTATATAGGCCCGCGGGCTTAACCTCGGGCCAAAAATCCCAGCCCACAATTAATTCAAGCCGAGCTCGGGATTTGACAAAATAGCCTGACCCGAGCCCGGCCCGGCCCGACCTATAAATAAACCCAAAAACCCTAATTGAATACCCTTTTTTTTACCTCTTTCCCTTCTTTTTCCAACCGAATTCTTCTTCTCCACATCCTCTTTCCCTTCTTTATATATATATTTTTTAATATAAATAAATTTTGAATTTATATATTTTTTTAATGTAAATAAATTCTGATTTATATTGATTATTGAATAGGGAAAATTTCTAATTTTTTTATTAGGTCGGGCTTCGGGCTCGGGCTCGGGCTTCGAGCTTTTTATTAGGGTCGGGCTCGGGCCCAAGTTGTAGGCCCGTTGGTCGGGCCGGGCTCGGGCTCGGGCCTAACATATTTCTGTTAATGAAAAGTAAAAGCCCAGCCCGAGCCCGGCCCAGCCCGGCCCATGAACAAGTCTACCCGTCACCATTTAGCTAGGCATCAGAGCCACCTCTCCAGCTCGTCACCATTAGCTAAGCATCAGAACCACCTCTCCAGCTCATCACCATTAGCTAGGCATCAAAACCACCTCTCCAACTCATCACTACTCGGTTAGGCATCAGAGCCACTTCTCTAGCTCGTCACCACTCAGTTAGGCATCAGAGCCACCTCTCCAGCTCGTCACCACTCAGTTAGGCGTCAAAGCCACCTCTCCAACTCGTCACCACTCAGCTAGGCATCAGAGCCACCACTCCAGCTCGTCACCATTCAGCTAAGCATCAGAGCCACATCTCCAGCTCATCACCATTCTGTTAGGCATCAGAGCCACCTCTCCAGATCGCCACCATTCAACTAGGCATTAGAGCCACCTCTCCAGGTCGTCACCATTTAGCTAGGCGTCCAAACCACCTTCCAGGTAGGAACCATCCAGCTAGGCATCCAAGCCACATTCTAGGTAGGGATTATTCAGCCAGGCATCCGAGTCACCTACCAGCCGGGAGCTGCCGAAATGCACATCATCAATTGGCATCGTCTGTGGGAAATCCCAACAACAAAGCCGAGTATGAGGCCCTCCTCGTGGGGTTACAGCTCGCTAGGGACCTCGGCTCCAAGCATATCAAAGTCTTCAGCGATTCGTAGTTGGTGGTTAATCAAGTCAATTGTGAGTACAAGGCCAGAGAACAATCCCACCACTTCCAACACTTCTCCTTGCAGCAAGTACCGCGAGTCGAGAACGCAAGAGCTGACACCCTCTCCAAGCTGTCTAGTACCTCGGCCCTCTATAGAAGAAGCCCAAGTACTCCAGCTAGAGGCCAAACCATCTTCGATGGACTCCATCATTGACTTCCTACTATCAGGACGACAGCCCGACGATAGGAACGAAGCTAGACGACTCCAATGTCAAGTAGCACATTACACTTTGCTAGAGGAAAAGTTGTATAGGAGATCCTTCACCTTGCCTTACCTCCGATGCCTCCGCTAGGAGGAGGGCGAATACGTGCTCCGAGAAATTCATGAAGGCATTTGAAGTAACCACCTTGGCAGTCGAGCCCTAACCCAAAAAACACTAAGGCAGGGATAGTTTTGACCAACTCTTCACAAGGATGCAGCCGAGTTGGTACGAAGGCGTGATCAATGTCAGAGACATGCTAACCTCTACCATCAACCATCCACGACACTCTCGGCTCTCAGCAGTCCCTAGCCCTTCGCCAAATGGGGAATAGACCTCCTCGGCCCTTTCCCTCAAGCAATAGGGGTAGGAAATACCTCGTCGTCATTGTGAACTACTTCACCAAGTGGGTAGAGGTCAAACCATTAGCCACCATTATAGCCCAAGCAACCCAAAGTTTTTTTGGAAAAACATCATTTGCTGCTTTGGCCTCCCCCACATGCTTGTCACCAACAACGAGAAACAATTCGACGATGCTAAGTTCCAAGAATGGTGCGCCTCCCTCGGGATCAGATAGCAGTACACCTCAATGGGCTATCCTCAGACGAACGGCCTAGCCAAGGTCACAAACAGAACCATCCTGGACAGACTGAAGACCAGGTTGAACCAAACCAAAGGCTTGTGGGCTAATGAGCTACACAGCGTTCTCTAGGCATATCGAACCACACCTTAGACAACCATGGGAGAGACCCCTCTCGGCCTAACCTACGGTATGGAAGCAGTAATTCCAGTAGAGATTGGACAGCCAACACTTTGGATTGAAGCTTACGACGAGGCCGAGAACAGTGAAGCACTTAGAGCAAAATTAGACCTGCTAGAAGAAGCCCGAGAGCAAGCACAAATCAGGGTGGCCGTCTACTAGCAACGAGTGACCCACTACTACAACTCCAAGGTGAAAGAAAGGCATTACCAAGAGGGAGACCTCGTCCTCAGGAAGGTCATGGTCCCCGAAGCTGGAGTAGGAAAGCTGGGCACCAACTGGGAAGGCCCTTACAGGATCAAGCAAGTTGTCAGCCCCGACACCTTTCGTTTGAAAAATTTAGATGGAAGATTCGTCCCTCGGATGTGGAACTTGGAGAACCTTTGGATGTATTACAAATGAATGTAATTTTTTGATGAAGTAATGAATTAATGAAGCAAAGTTCTTCTTTGGCTCAATGCTTAGCGTGTGTTCCCACCAGGTCTCTAAGACCCCTCAGCTTTGCGACTGGTCGAGGTGCATGGCCTCTCCCAAGGACCGCGCCCTCTTGTCGAACCGTTGCTAGGGCATATTGCTAGTAGCGAACACCCTAACAAAATGCCTCGCCAGACTATACCAAGATAGCCGAGGCCTTGCACGCCTCACCACCCGCCTCAGTGGCAGTTGGCCTCTTGGTCTTCTACACTTAGCACCATTAGCTAAATATGGCAACCCTAACCAACTTGGCGGTTCGCCTTGGCCCGAGACCCAGACCTCTTTAGAGAGTCACCTCGGCCTCATCGAAGTAACCACTTGGAGAGGTGGGAGCTAGGTGAGCC